AAAGCTCCAAACCATTTTCATTGCTCCCAAGGGAGACTCTCTGTCTACTAAACACATTCCTTCTCCTCCCAGCCCCTGGTAACCACTATCTTGTTTTCCACGTGATGTATGGATTTGCCTACTTTTTGAAATTTCAGGTAAGTCAAGCCCTGAAGTATGTGGCCTTTGGGGACAAGCTTCTTACCTTTAGCGTGGGGTTTTCCGGTTCCTCCGTGTTATCCCACTTTTCAGTGCTTCCTTCCTTTCTATTGTGTGTTTATGCCTCACTCTGTTCAGCCGTTCATCTGTTGACAGGCATTTAAGTTTTTGCACTTGTTGGCTACAGTGAACGTGCTGCTATGGACAGCAGTGTCCTGTTTTCGTTTGGCATGTTTTCAATTCTTTTGGACTATAATCTACAAGCGGAATCACTGGGTTGTAGGAAAATTTCATAGCTGACTTATTGAAGAGCCATCAACCTCTTTTTCCAGCGTTACATTTTTATGCTTTCTTGTGTTTCTTAGCTCAGTAAAGGGTGAGGCGTTTGAAATGTCAACCCTTTAAGGAGCACATGTGAGTGTGTGCACGCATGCGTGCAGGGCTTTAACAACTTTTTTTTTTTTTTTTTTTAATTTTGAGACAGCCTCTTACTAAGTTCTCCAGGTTGGCCATAAACTTCTGAGCCTCCTACCTCAGCCTCTTGAGTAGGTTGTGCACACCACTGTGCCCAGTTTAAAAGTCTTAGTTGTAAAGCCTTTAAAATTAGGCTCTATGATGGGAAATGATAATAAACTTTGGCTAATACGTTTAATTTGAAACTTAATTTTTTTTTTTTTTAGAATAGAAATCTCTGGTAATTCTATCACCTTACTATGGCAACAATCTCAGTTCTAAATTTTGTTCCATTTGGCTTTCATGCATATGTTTTATATATTTACCATCAGAGTGAACACTAAATGTATAAGCTGCATTTCTTAATGAATGCCTTTCCAGAAATTTCTATAATGTAATATGGCCTTTGCCATCATCAAACTCATCTTTCATAGCACACTAAATGCTTCCCCTAACCTTCTATTTAGATTGTTCCCAATATGACAGGTAATTCTCAATTCTTCCTCGGGAGGCATGTGGTTGTTTTGTGTCTCTTCTTTAGAAAACAATCCCTTGGGTGGAAATATTGGGTTAAAATGTGTATTTATTTGTAGAACTTTATTTTTCAGGGGGTACTGGGAATTTAACCTGGAACCTTTGCACTAAATTACATTCCCAGACCTTTTATTTTGAGAGAGAGAGAGAGAGAGAGAGAGAGAGAGAGAGAGAGAGAGAGACAGACAGAGAGAGAGACAGAGAGAGAGAGAGAGAGAGAGTCACTGAATTGCCCAGTCTAGGCTCAAACTTGTGATCTTCCTGCCTCAGATTTTCAGGGTGCCGGGGTTGCAGGACTGTGCCACCACCATGCCCCGAGGTTGTATTACTCTTGGTGTACAAAAATATGATGTTTTCCAGAGCAGTCGCACCACTGTAAAAGGTGATCTGCAGATGCTTGAGTGTTCTTGTTTCAACACAAATGCATTAAAATCACCGGCCCTCTCTCCCCTCCTTCCCGTTCCGTAAGGGTGAAATGGCTCTCGCTGCTGTCTTCACCGTCTTCTCATCTCTCCACCGCTTCTGAAATGTTCTTTACTCCCAGCAGGGCCGAAAGTGGAGGAAGTAATAAAGAGATGACAAACAGCGGGGCGGATCAGCAGGCTTAGGGCTGGAGGACCAATTACCACACAGAGGCAGAGGCAGAACATGTGGTGGAGATGACCCATCCTGCTTCCCATCCAGGGCTGGGTGTCTGAGTCCCTACCTCACCTTCTCTACAAAAAAAAAAAAAAAAAAAAAAAGGAAAGGAAATAGAAAGGAGAGACAGGGCTTCTTGTTTCTCCCAGTGCCTGGTTTTCATTAGGCCTGAAGCAATGCTTTGTTGTTGCTTAAACTGGCTCTTTTGTTAAGCCTGAAATCTGCAACCCCTTCCTCTCTGTAGGATGAGAGGGACCACAGGGCCCCTGGAAAGTTAGAGGTGTGGGATCTTAATTCCCGGCATTGTGAATGGAGGATTGGGTGACAGATGACTAACCAGCTGCAGCTGCCACTGCTATGCAAGGTGCCGGCCCTTCTCAGAGGAGCAGCTGAAGGAGCACAGCGCCCACCCATCAGAGTGGGAGGAAAGATTTTCTATGCCAGGCAACCCCCTTTCCTTTGTAAATGCAAAATGAACCACTAAGGAGTCACCATTTCCAGCTCTCTCTCTCCTCCTCTATCTGTCTCTCTCTCTCTGTTGTGGGAAACACAATAACATAAAATTTATCATTTTAACATTTTTTAGTGTATGGTGCAATGATATTAGGTATATCCTTGTACAGCCAACACCACCTTCTATTTCCAGAACTTTTCTCATTATCCCAAACTGAAACTCCACATACACCAGGAAATAACTCCCCATTTCCCTTCTCTCTAGTCCCTGGCAAAAAAAAAAAAATACTATTTTCTGTCTCTATAAATTTGATTACTCTAGGTACATCATGTGAGTGGATCAAGTGGGTTTTGTCTTTTGTGACTGGCTTAGTTCATGTAGAATAGTTATCAAAGTTCACCCATATTGTAGCAAATGTCAGAATTTCCATTCTTTCTTTAAGGTTGTGTAATATTCTCTTATATATGCATATATGTTGTATGTGCGTATATGTATTCATTTACATATACATAAGTTCTATGTGTGTGTACACACAAAATAGTCTACTTACCCTTTCTTCCACTGTGGATACTTGGCCTGTGTCATGGTTACTTTTTTCTTGTTGCTGAGAGAAAATACCCAAAGCCCAAAATGAAAGAAGGAAAGGTTTATTTAGCTCACAGTTTGTGGAGGTTTCAGTCCATCATCTGCTGAGTCCAAGGCAGGGTGGCTCATGGCGGAGGGCAACAACTGTTGGCAACAGAACACTGCAAAAGCAACAACAGCAAAGAGCACGGAGATAACATTCTTTCTGTCCCTCACATAGGCCACTCACCCTTGGGTGAGTGTAACACACTCATAGTCACAGAATTGGGCCATGAATCAATCACAGATTCTAGGAGCCTACCCCCATGATGACATAGGCTTTGGGGAGATATCCAGACGGTAACCATAGGAGCCAGTTTTACCTATTTCATGACTAATGCTATTATGAACATGGAGTACAAATACCTCTTTAAGATCCTGCTTTCATTTTCATTTTCAGTCCCCCAGAAGGGGGACTGACGGACCACATGGTAATTTCATTTTTAATTTTTCACATAACTGTCATATTGCTTTCCATGGTGGAAATGTGGCTTAATGTTCCCACCAGTAATGAATGAATAAACCACCATTTCAGTGGTGAGTTACTGGCATGATGTATACATGACAAGGTAAAAAGATGGTGACTATTTAGGTATCCTTTGAAATTAATAGGCAAGATGAACCCAGAGCCACCTAACAACAGGCCAAGTCAGTTGGATCAAAACTGTGATGGTCCCTACAAAATGCCAGAGCAGTGGGGTACCCAGTGCAACTGTATACCACTAATGTGTCATCTATAACCATTTTAGGGAGGCCAATGGGTCCATTATTTAATATGTTACAGGTTTTAAAATATTTTAATTTAGCATAGCAGCATGTTTTATAAACTTAGACTGTGAAGAAAAAGACCTGTAATAATTTGTCTTTAAATTACTTCAGCCTCTGCTGGATCACTGTACATTCTAGTGGCTAGTGCTATCATTTGGCTCTGGAATGACCCCCAAAACCTATGGGTTAAAACTTTGTTCCCCAGAATGGTATTATCTGCAGGTGGTAGAACCTTTAGGAAATGGGGCTAGCAGGAGTCTCTAGGTCACTGGGGATCTGACCTTCAGGGTGATGATGGAATCTTGCCCCTTCCTCTCTCTCTTACTTCCTGGTCATGAAATAAATGATTCTGACCCACACACGCTCATCTTTTTCTGCCCAGTACTGAGAAACTAAACCAAGGGCCTTCACACTCACCTGTATCTCTATCTCTTTTAATTTTGAGACAGTGTCTCACTAAGTTGACAAAACTGGGCTTGAACTTGCTAGGACACCAACTTCTGCCTCAGCCTCCCAGAGTGCTGAGGAGACAGTTGTGTGCCCCTTTACCTGATTTCCTACCCCATGCTCTTGCGATAATGTGCCACCTTTGCACAGGCCTAAAATCAACAAGGCCAATTAATTGTGCATGAACTGTAACCTCCAAACTTGTGAGCCAAAATAAACCTTCTCTCTTTTTAATTAGATTATCTCAGGTATTTATTATCGTGATGGAAAGCTGACGCGGTCACCAAAAGTATATTTTTGGTGGTTACGCTTAATGAGATTATAAAAATAGTGCTCCCTCACTGCTTGACTTTCCTGGGTCTTTTCTAAAGTATGTTCCCCAGAACACTAGCTCTTTTAGATATCAGGAAACAGTGCATAAAGAAGGATTTGGGTGTCAGAGCTTTCTATTTAAATATACAAATGATCATGTGGCTTAAAAGGGGGCCTCTACCAACCATTGGTTCTCTCAATTACTTGCCTTGAAATCATTATTATTAGTATAAAGTCGTTATTAATGTTGCATAAAGCATATTTCAAGACACACTTTTTTAGACAAATAAGGTTTCATAAATTTTATCTTTGCATTGTATAGAAATGTATGTGTATTACAAGGTAGCAAGATGAGATATTGTAAAGTTAGGCAGAATCAAAACTCAAATCTGACCTCAGAGGCTAGCTGCACCATTGTGGGGGAAATTCTTTGATATCTTTAAGCTTTAGTTTTCTCTCTGGTGAATTGGATAAATGTTAACTTCTTCACAATAGTAAGTGAAATAATGCATAGGAGCCATTTGTTCTCCCAATCATTTCTACCTGCCGCATTGATGGTTTTGTTCATTGCAGGATTTCGTTGTTTGGTATGATTGAAGACTGCCACCATGTTGTTTCTTGGATTGTAATGAGTACCTCCAAGCCCGTTAGCTAACTATTGTGGGTCAGATGTCACGACAGAGCTCAGAAACTTACGGCTTCACATCCATTGAGGTTGGCCACCTGGCACGACACATGACCAACACCGTAGAAGCCCCTGGAGGTAACCAGTATGTGCCACACACACACACAAAAGCTTATTGCTTTGCCTCTCCATCAGTCCTTTCTGTCTGTTGTCTGGCATTAACCTACAAGTGTGCCTTTTTTATTTGTTCTCCTCCTGGGTAGATCCATTGTCTAATCTCTTCTCTGTGTCACCCCTTCAGACCCTCCCATCCCCAAATGACTTCATTGATGACATTCTTGATTTCTCTTTCTCTGAACCAGGTAACTGTGCCTTTCTCTCATCCTCTGGGCTCCTGTTGGTGTTGACAGATGTGAAGACCTAGCCTACCCAGATAGGTGAGCCAGGAAATACTCTGCCAAGGATTGTTTTTTACCTTCCTCTTTTCTTTCCACTGGGATGCCTTGATGAGCTGACTTGCATTTATCCAGTAAAAATTTGCTGTGTGCTTTGCATGGCCTTTTTAACCACCCATGCCACTCTTTCCAACCAGGAGCAAAGAGTACCGCCCTTTTAATCTTGGCCAGAATACACAAGTGATGCTGTGTAGGTTTTGGACCTACATGCTAAGAGACTTGCTTGTCAGCCTCTACTCTGTGTGTGTGTGTGTGTGTGTGTGTGTGTGTGTACACGCATGTGGATGTGGTGCTAGAGATGGAATTCAAGATCTAGCACACTAGACAAGTGCTCTATTCCCGAGCTACCCTCCCACCCTCAGTTGTTTCTGTTTTGATGTCTCACTTGGAATTGAGATTATAATAAGGGGATTTGTGAAAGGCTAATGAATGATGAAAGGGAGGGAGGGAATGAAAAAGGAGGGAGAGAAAGAGAGGGGAGAGAGTGAGGGAGAGGAAAAGAGAGGAAGAGAGAGATGAAGAGGGAAGAGAGAAAAAGAGGGAGAGGGAGAGGTAAAGGGAGAGTGAGAAGGAAATGGAGAGAGGGAAGAGGAATAGGGAAAGGGAGAAAGACAGGGAGAGGGGGAGGAAGGGGTGGGGGAGATGTCATAGCCAGCTTCCCCAAGGTCTCAGGTACTTGAGTGGGACCATCTTGATCCTCTGGCACTGACCAAACTCTCAGATGCACGCAGCCTCATTGCATTAAGCCAGGCATCAGCAAGCTTTTTCCTGTAAAGAGCCAGGTAGTACATTTTAAGTCTCTGTAGGAGGCTTAATGGTCTTTGCTGTTAACTGCTCACCTCTGCCATTAGAAAGCAAAAGCAGCTGTAGACAATATGTGCATGAGTGAGTACGGTTGTATTCTCATAATGTTTTATTTACATAGAACGATGGCAGACTAGATTTGCCTGTAGATCATAATTTGCTGACCCCTCGTTAGGACACCAAGTTCTAGAATGGCTTCATTAATGCAACAGAGAACTAAAAACAGCCTATTCATGTGTTGCCGGCACTCTTGAGCTGTAACTGTCAAAATGATACATTCATTCCTGCCTCCAGGGAGCTTACAACTTGTGCTAGCTTTATGGGAAAAGAGATTAGATCCAAAAACCCTGTCCAAATATCCCCAAGGCTCAACTCCAACTAGGAAAGATTCAGAGAAATTGATAGCTATTGAAGGAATGACAGTGGAGTTGGAACAGAGAAGGACATATATCTATTCTGGCGAATCTTGCTGTATAATGGACCTCTCCAAGATTCATTGTCATGAAACAACCGTCTTATGATGCCTGTGCATTTGGGGGTAGGGAATTACACAGAATTAGCTTGTCTTTAACCCATGGTGTCTGGGTCTCAGCTGAGAAGACTCGCTAACTGGAGGTGATTTGTCATCTAGAGGCTAAAGTTACACAGACAGATTGTCACTCAAGGGCCAAGGCTGTGTCTCTGCTGGGATAGTCAGCTGGAGTACCATGGTATGGCTGTTTTCTGAGTCACTGACCCTTGGGTGGTTCCTTGCTCTAAAAGAGTTTCAGTGAGCAATTTGAAAGAAGCTGCATCATGTTAGTGACTTAACCAGTGTTTATAGTTTGCAGTGTCTCTTAGATTAAGGAAAAGGGGCATAGATGCTGCCTCCGTGTGAGTGGAGTATCTGTCTCTTTTGTGAGTGGGATGTCAAAGTTTGCCTTAACAAGTTCTTAACACACACAGAGAGACAGAATGGGAATGGGCCCACTGGATTGTGGAGGATGACAAATCCCTCCTATAAGCTGGAGAACCAGAAAGCCAGTGGTGTTGTTCATTTGGAGTCTGAACCATGATGGCTGAGAGGGGAACTCCAATTCCAGGTCCAAAGGCCCGTGAATTAGATGTGTCAGTCCGAGAGCTCCAAGGGCCTGAGAACCAAGGACACAGATATCTGAAGGCAGGAGAAGACAGAAGTTTCAGCTTAAGGAAGAAGAGACAGAGGGAGAATTTTCTCTTTTTCCAACTTTTTGTACAATCCAGGTCCTCAGTGGGTTGTGTGATGCTCACCCACATAGATAAGGACAGATCTTCTTCTAGGATTTTATTTATTTTCTTCCAGAAACACTCTCACAGACATATCCTCACCAACACACTCAGCTTGAAAGTTTTATCAGTGATCTGGGAGTCCTTAGCCCAGTCAAACTGACATAAAATTAACCATCACGGGCACATTGAAAGCATTGAATAAGTTTTGAATAGGTTTCTGAGGTGAAAACATTCTTTGTTGGGGCTGATCTGAATTCATAACCATCTGTCTATTTTGGCCCTGGAGGTTAAGTAACCTGGGAAATTATGCTCACTGGCTGTAATTAGTCTACCAGATTAGCTCTCTCTTTCTATGGCTCTGTCTCTGTCTGTCTGTCTGTCTATCTGTCTGTCTGTCTGTCTCTCTCTATGTTGCAATTCTGTAGAGTAGGACAGTAGGACTGTACAGTAATTGAGGCCATCTTCCATGGTGTCAGACAGTCCTAATTTAAGAGCCAGCTCTGATATTTACTGCATGACCTTGGGCCAATTTCTTAATGTACTGTATGCCTTACTTTAAAAATGGGGATAATTATATGATGGTTCCAACAATTGCTATGAAATTCCAACAAAACAATGCATGTAACTAGCACATAGCAGGTGTCTAATACATAGCATTATTTTAAAACAGACTGTTTTATGAATTTTGAGCTTTAAATAAGTTTCAACAATACAGATGATGTATAATATTACACAAAAGAGGTAAAAGAAAAGAACACTGAAAAATCTACTTATTCTGAAATTATTCTTTAATGTTATCAAATACACTCCAATGCAAGAGGTCTATACCCGCTATCCAGGCTTAAAATTGTACGTACAAGTATACACACACACATATATGTGATTGCACACATATACAAGGGCTGGCCAAAAAATATGTGTTTAAATAAAAAATTACAGTAAAAGGCATATTGTCACTAATAACCCTTAAAATATCCTTCCTTGCACACGTATCCTGTAATCATTGCCACTTTCTGAAGCAGCTCTGCAAGTTTTCTATCCTCACAAGGTGCAATCAGCCTTATGGGAAATGCTCCTGCCAAGTGCCGTCCAGCGGAAAGGGAAGCTTGGTAAAACATTACAGCATGTACTCCTGCACTCTGTTCACCAGACCTGGCTGAACGGGGCTTCCAGCTTTTCTGCAATGTCAGCAGAATGCAGCCGTAAAGATTTTGAATCCATTCAGGTCTTCAGGGTGACTATGGCAGAGTAACTGAGATGTTTAGGAAAGAGGACTTCCGGAACTCCTTCAGAAAGTGACAAGAACAAATGGATAACCCGGCCCAAAATGAAGGGCAGTGTTTTAAGGCAGATTAATGACAGTATGTCTTCCTGTAATAAAGATTTTAATTTAAATATTCACTATTTTTGTGATCGCACTTTTGTACAACATGCACACACATACACACACAATTTTACATGAGTGGCATTACATTGATAGTGTTTCATATAACACTGTGTCCTGTGTTATGTATTCCAAGAAAAGTGCATACCTCTGTTTAGAGAACTGATAGTAGCCCATGAAATGGCCTTACCATAGTTTAAACTGCAATGTCAGTTGAGGGCATTTCAGTTTGTGTTTGTTTGCAGACTACGTTTTAGCACTGAAAATGGTAATAGTGATGCTGTTGGAAAGAGAAATCTAAAAATGGGCTAACCAAGAGCCCAGAGTATTTAACTGTGCTGCCTTTTTTTTTTTTTTTTGGTGGTCTTTCAACTTTGTCTTTTAGCAAAAAACATAGTTCCCAATTTGTAGAGGTTTCAGGCTATAGTCAGCTGGCTCCAAGGCAGGCTGTCCAAGCAGAGGGGCATCCCAGAGGAGAAACGATCCACAGCAAGACAGGGATAAGGCGTCAAGCAGCAGCAAACCTGCCTTCTCTCTCTCCCTTTATATTCTATCCAGACTGTGTGCTTATTGATCAGCGGCACCGACAGCCAGTGTGGGACTTCCATTATCTACCATTTAGTTATCATACACCTTAATCCCAGTATCACATGCTCTAGAACTAGTTGGCACTGAAAAGCTCCACTTATGAGCACATGAGCCACTGAGGGGACATCTAGATATGAACTGTAACAAGTGCAAACACATACAGCTAGACTTTCTATTAGTTTTACCCAGCCTCCCAGAGAGGGAGCCACTTATAGGAAAACCACACAACTTGTTTCAGTGGTGGAATCATCCCACATCTCTAAATAAAATGAAACTTTAGGGCTAGCAGATATCTCAGAGGATTTCTGGTCCAACTTTTCTCCTATCAACTGCTGGTGAAAAGATTAAGCCTAAACCGAGATATGGTGATAAATGACAAGAAATAATATGATTTAAAAGGTACATAGAGAGGAGTTAGAAATCAGAGTAAGGGAAATGTGCCTGATTCAGTACCTAGGGCTGCAAAAGTTTCAATTGTTATAAGGGAAAAATTTGTAAAAGGATTTTTTTCTTTTGAAAATTATACAAAAATGCTCCTTAATCAGACACTGGACTAGAAGTCTTCCAAGATGTTTTCTACTCACTAGATTCAGAATCCTGAATTCTTAGAGCTTAGGTTCTCTGTAAAATGTAGCTAGTAACATCAAGGTCATAGTTATATTAAAAGAAGCACCTAAAACTCATGTTAATGAGCTTCTTACTACTACCATTAAAATATTCTTAAGAACTACGATCTCAGAATAGCTTTGACTTTGTTTTGCGTTTTGCAAGTGGCTCAGTATCAGTTAATATGCTTGAAAATATAAAAGTAGTCAGAAATAAGAATGACAACATTTAGTTTTATTTTTACTCAGACTAGATGATAGTTCCACATTTTCAGTATTCTTATTCATAATAATCAAAAGGTGGAAACAACCCAAATTTCTACTAATCAGCGAATGCATTAGTAAATGTGGCACGTCTCTACAATAAAGTATTACTTACCAATAAAAGGAATGAAGTATTGGTGCATGCTACAATGTGAATTATCCAGGAAATAATATGCTAAGTGAAAAAAGCTAATTACAAAAGTCCAGAACTATATGACTCAATTTGTATTAATCCTAGCAGGGAAATCTTTCAGTTGGGAAGATAGATTACTGACTTTTTAGGTCTGGAAAGCAATTCAGAACAGATGGGAGACAGGCAAGTGGCACAGGTATATTTTCGGAGGTGACAAAATAATTCTACCACTGTAGTGAGGGTCACATATATCTGTGAATATTTTAAAAGCCATTTAATGACACAATTTAGATGGGTAAGTTGTATGTTATATTAATGATATGTCAATGAAGTTGCTAAAAGAAATGATTCCCAAGTCAAGACCTGGTGAAAATGGTCATGAAGTTCAGGCAGAGAGAAATTTGTTTTAGTTCATATTCTAAAAAATATTACCTGGGAGGAAAACTTCACCTGGGCAAGACACAGTCAAGTCTATGGGCCTGGCTGCCACATCTACGCCAAGGCTGTCTAACAGCCAGCTGGGCACCAGACAGCCTGGTCAAACAAGAGCAAGTGAGAGTCACCCAAGACCATTGATCAATGACCTGAGACACGATCATCACTGCCTCACCTGGCCTCCGCCCCCAAAATGTTGTAGGTCTTCTATGCTGCAGGAGGGACTGCATTCAGAAAGGAGGGTTTCTGCTCAGCTCAGCCTGTGTGTCCTGGGAGTTGACGAATCCAAAGGAGCACTGAATTTTGGGCCGAGGCAGAGGGAAGCAAGAGGAGTGATTTGCTACCATCGGTCCTGTTCATTTTCATTTTTCTTGTGTGTTCAGTGTTCCTGCTACCTGCTTTTCTTGTTGCCTTTGCAACAGATGAGGAGGAACCAAGTGCTCTCTACCTTCTTTTATGATGCTTGAGTGTCTTGCTTTGTGAAACAAGGTATATGAAACCCATAGATTTCTCTTCTGTCTTCAGGTCCATTGCTCTTACAATCAGCGAAAACATCTTTTTAGATATCTGTGATACCACAGGCATTTTAGAGGAAAACATAGAAATGAGGTATCAGAGACTCCTGCCTGATGCTTCTCACCCCATCTGCTAATATCAATGTTAATGTTCCAAAGTATTCTACAACTCGAAGGCAATGTTCTTCATTCATTTTTTATTGGCATTTGCACAGAGCTTTAGCAAACAAATTTGCACACACACTTATCTTTGGCTCTTTTAAATTTGGAATTCAAATTATCAGAACCCAATTCAATATTAATATGCTGCAACCACTTGCATTTTGTATGTTTCAGAGAACTTCGCAAACACTGATGGCAATAGTAATGTTAGTGAAAAGAGATTTGTGCTACGAATCAGGAGTTTTGGGTTCTTCCTGGCTCTCCCTCCAATCAGAGATGGAGGCTTGGAAGAATTATTTACTAAACCTCAACTTTAGTTTTCCAAATTCTAAAATGGGTGAGTAGACTTGATGGTGTCTGAAGTCCCTTCCATGTCAGATATTTTAGGACTCTGTTTATCTCCATATTTTAATTTAGATTTGAGAATTAGATAATTAGCTTCAAAGAAAGAAAAACAGACAAAATGTTATGAATGATCCTATTTAACAATATTTTAAGTTTTCCCAGAAGGTCAGACTAGAGCTCTGAGTTTTACTGCCATCATTTTATGCTTTTATTTTTGCAAGATTAGAGTTTCAAATAGTCCCTGTGTATATTGCTTATGAAATGAACTGTTAGCAGGTAAAATAGGGTGCCATGCTATGGCTTAGGGTCACAGACACACTTTGGTTAGAGCAATGATTCTCAAACTCAAATGCATCACAAGTCACCCAGAAAGTTGTTAAAATGAAGATTGCTATGTCCTAGTCCCAGAGTTTCTGATTCAGCAGTGTAGAATAAATCCCTAAATTTTGCACTTCTATCAAGTATTTGGGTGTGACTGATTCTGCTGGCCCAAAGACCACAGAAGAAGGTTGAGCTATCTGTACATTGGCATGCTTTATTTTACTTTTGTTGCCAGAGAAAACCTAGGAGTCTTTCCTGGTAAGTAAAGAAAAGGGTTAGTTTATATTGGTCACTTCATTCTTTGTCTCTTTCCTTGATTAATTTCTAGTGTAGCCTAAGGTTGCCAGGCCTGGTGATAGAGTTTACATTTCAGTGGATGAGTCTGGAATGGATAGGCTATCTTATTCAAAGTACCCAGGAGGACAAGGAGTCACAGGAGTCATCATGAATAGATAAATACTCAATGATATAACTACTACAACCAAGAAAAGCAATGTTGACACTGCAATGTTGACAAAGCAAATCTGGTGGTCTGTAAAGCAGTACATATCAGTGATCGAGTTCCCAAGACTGTGGTACACTTGTTCACCAAAAACAGTGTTCTTATTTTGTTTTCCATGAACACACAGTTAACTGTATTTCCTAGCTTCCCTTGCAGCTAGGTATGATCATGAATTGGTTGTCTGCAAGTAAATACAAGGGGGTATGAATTGTGCTACTTCCCAGCCAAGACTTGTGAGAAGATTCTGAGCCTCTTCTTTGTTTTCTTTCTTTTTCTCCAGCTTCTGGTTGGAGATGGAAGGAACCTAAGCCTTTGAATTACTGTATGGAGGAGAGTAGCTGATCCTTCAGGAAATACTGAACTAGGAAGACATGACTACTTTATTTGAGCCACTATCAACTCTTTGGTCTCACTGAACTGCATCCAAGTCCTGTCCAATACACAAATGGTATTATTTCTCAACACCAGAGGACCGAGCTGTGGGAGTGGGGGAAAATAAAAGTTGAGAAGAAATGAATGTATGTAAGATCCCAGCAAATGAGTGAGGAGCTATGCTAAACCAGTGTTTCTTAAGGTTAGGTCAAAAAGGTCTCTCCCGACACTTAGGAGGCTTGTCAGTAGAGTTAGAAGAGTTTCATACTACACTTCCTGAGAAACCTCAAATAGAGATCGGCTCTCCTATTTTCAAGGAAGAGTATTAAAGAAAGATTAACATAAATTAGGTGGGAGAAATGCTTTACAGTAAGGAAATAGGAATATCTGTGTCATGAATGGAGAAACACTGTTCTGGAAATTTTTACTGCAAGAACACAAAGAGCCTTTTAGAAAACAGTTTGATGACAACATTAATTGCAGAAAGACACAGCCTCCATAAAAAAATGAAAAAGATCAGGAGGAAGTAGAAGTGAAGGGTCTAATGTGAAAAGATTCAGATTCAAAAGGTCAGGTTAAGAGAAAGGATGAAAAATTAACAGAAAGAATTAAGGAACTGATATACAGCATTAAGATTAAAATTCACAGTGATGTGGAAGACAAACTTGAGATGCTCTCCACAGCTCAGGAAAAAGGAAGTGATTGATAAAGACCAGAAGGATTAAGTAAACATGGAGGATATAAAATGAAGATAAAACCTTAGAAAAGATACTGGTTCTGGGGACAATAAAACAACAAAGAGAAAAACTTCTAAAAAGTCTTGAAAGTATTTTGATGGACTTTACAAGCATCTGAAGAAAACGTCTGAGTTTGAAGACTGAAATGACTTGTTACATTAGTGTTAAGAAACATACGTATTCATACTCTAGCATATTCTTTTAAATTCTAAGAATGAAACCATGTAATACTATGCAAATGTCTGGGTAGAAGAAATTAGTTTCATCACAAGAGAAAAAAAACCATGAAGAAAAAACCCCATGAAGTATTATTATGTATATTTGCCTAAAATTTCTTGATTCACCTTAATAATATACATTTCTTCTGTAATGAGTGCAATAATGTTAAAATATTATTTTAAAAACACGACTTATAATAGCCAAAACAGAAAATACATGACAAAAGGACTTATTCTAAGGACTTGTAACAGCCAAGACAGATAATACATAACAAAATTTAGATTACCTCTAGGATAGAGAGGTAAGATTCAATGTATTAATATAACTGTATACTTAGGAGATAAAATATAATTTCCCTCTAGAAAAGCCAAGTTTTATCTTAAAATAATCATAATGTTCAGGTAGAAGAATGCATTCATTAGTTTGCATGTTGCCATGGCTTTTCATGGTATGCAGGATAATATGAGAAATAATAGTGACATAATTTGATGCAAATGCCATTTGTTTTGTCCTAAGATACAGTCTCTCCTGAAATTGATCCTCTATCCTCTTACTGCAGCTAACTCTGAAAGAAAAAAAATCTAGACCTGTGTTCCAAAGGCTGGCTTTCATCCCTGTTTCTCTCTTCAAAGGAGAAGAATGGCGAGGCGTTACAAAACAGGAACCAGAGCTTGTTGGGAAAGATAAATCACTACATGATGAATCAAACCAGGCCACTGATGGTGCCCTAAATCATAAGAGCAGCCTGTCAAGGTACACCCCATAGGAGATTTAGGGCTCAGCTCCACCTATCCATCTCTTCCAGGGTACATTCGTGGGCTCATGTATTCATTTGACAAGGGATATTTTGGGGTAAGGAACTCATGGGGGGTTTTTATCAAAAGCTTCTTGGATAATTAGAAAGGACTCAGTCCCCCTGCCTTTCCTGGAACTGTGTCACTCTTGTGAGGTGTTAGAAATGGATGTCTACATTTATATCATCGCCACTCCATCCCAGCTGTTTAGAATAAGCAGCTGGTTCTCAGTGGACTTTTTCCATCCTTCTCCTGAAACTAAGTAAAGGTCAGCTGAGTGGTACATGAAGAGTGCTGTTTCTGAAAACTTTTGGATTATGAAAATAGAAATGACATTCCGTGTGGAGTCATCACGTCACTGACAAATCACCTCACCTTGCCAAATACCCATAAGAGAGATCCAGTTGAGTAATGGGTTCCTTCTTCCTGTTTTCCAGGGTTGCCCCCTAAGCTCTGGTGCCTGGGAAGAACTTTGTTCCTGTGATAGCTTTTAGAATGGAATTTTCCAGAATTGCCTTTTTTTCTTTGTTAGTTCTACTGAGTTCGGCGATTATCTTCAAGTGGAGTCAGCTGTCAGCCAGTATCCCTCCCTTGTTTGTCCCCTGACTGCTGGACTGTCTGTTAATTCTTTTCTTCAGCCAATTTCCTTTGCGCAGTTTGAACTTACAGTCCCCATTCATCCCACTGTTAAGGCTCACACAGATGTGTGAAGATTGCACCCAACAAATTGGTTCAAAAAACAGTGATGATGCTAGTCAGCATGCGGGTTATTTTCAAACCAGCTGAATGCAGTCAAGCACCCAAGCAGTTACCAACTGGTTGGTTGAGATCCAGCCATTGGAAGGGTTTATATCTTTCAAAGCCATCTGTGTATGCAGACATAGCATTAAGTTTCCATAAACTGTCACCCTTCTGATCACATCTCTTTATTGTCACATCAATGATTTTTACCTGTAGTTTTTTTTTTCCATGCTTGATGGTATATTTCATTAGGGAGTTAATTTATTCTAATTAATTTCAGGTGCATATTCCTCTGTTCAATCTGATTCCATATGCAAAAAGACATGTCTGTCAGTGTGACTAGAATCACCCAAGAGCAAACAATTTCAGTTTCAATGTTCTGAGGCTGGAAAGTGGAAATACAATTGCCCTAAATTCCTGCTTCGTCAGTGCTCACCTTCTTTTTCCCCTCTTCTTCCTCCTCTTCCTTCTTCCATAGTTCCAGCAGGCCCTCAGTGTATACACTGATAATCGAGATTCCAGAAGCTAAAACATTGCAGGCATAGGAAGAGACTATGAGTCACCTCCTTCTCCCCTTTTTCTGCTCTAATTATATATATGTGAATCACAGTCCTAGGAAAATACACTGAGTTAAGAAAGGAAATATATAGGGGAAGGAGGGAATAATTCCTGGCTAAATTTCCACCCAGTCTCTGCAAGGATTTTATTAGACAAGCTAATAATTTAAGACCATGTCTGGCAAGCTGATATTCTGAGCTCAATTTCCTGAAAATATTTTGGGGTCCAAAAATGCTACAGGGCCTACCTGCCATGTGAAACTCTAAAAGAAGACTCGGAAAGGGCAAAGAAGATGCTTAGTGAAAAAGAATATTGCTGAATGTGTCAATATATTTCACAGAAAGGATGAATTTGAATAAGCTATGAGAAGACCGTCTCCGTGGGTATAGTTCGTGGGAAATTGTAGTCATTGTTATGTTCAATTTTAGCGATTTACCACAATGGCTACTTGGTCCTTCATTTTATTCTCTGCTTGCAACTTGCCTCGCTCTTTTATGTTTTGGGGAACCTTACGTAGAGCTGTGCCCTCTTTTGCCTGGCTTGCTTCCTAAGCCAGGACGTGGCAGAAGAGATAGTCACTCTTGTAACCTTGTGCCCCACAAAGTACTGGAATCCTGTTCTATACTTTCTAAATTCCTTTCTTTCCCTTGGCCAGTCACAGTTGGTTGAACACAGAATATTCTAGGGGTGAACTCAGGGCCTTTTGCATGCTAGGGAAACACTGAATTCCTGACCTCCACTTCCGACTCTGAAGAATCTTCTTGACAGCCACTCGTGAAGTGCCTGTAGCAGCAGCTACTGTGAATGGTCGGCCCATTGACCTTGACCTTAATTCATAAGGGCTGCTACAGTTTGGATGTAGTTTCTGTGTCCCCACAAGATTCATGTGCTAGAAGTTTGGTCCCCAGTGTGGTATACTGGGAAGATGATAGAATCTTTAAAATGTGAGAGTTAGTGGAAGGCGATAAGACTAGAGAATACCACAGTCAGAAGAGATTAGTCTTGGACTTGTGGAATGGCCTAGTTCTCATGAGAATGGACTGTTAAAGTGAGGTCACCCTATGAGCTCGGTTCCTCCTTCCCATGGCCATTTCTCTGCTTGTTGTGACACAACCAGAGGGGCCCTCTTTAGGGATCAAACAAATAGAGCCACCTGATCTTGGACTTCCAATCTTCCAGGCTGTGAGAAAAATAAGCCTCTTTTCTTTATAAAGTATTCAGTTTCAAGTATTTGTTACAGCAACAGAAAATGAACCAGTACATGAGTTTGGACCTCTCACTATTGTTTATCTTCTACCGTCATGGAACAAATCCTCTGGGTCACTAGGGAAGGAATTACAAAACCACCACCTCTCTCATGGGGCTCCAGGTCTGTTGCTTTTGCAAAACAAAAAGCTCTGGCATGGGCAAGAACATTCCTAATTGTCTCCTAGGTGAAAGACAGAGTAACATCTACTCAGTGCAGTGAGGATACCGCACAGCCATGAAAAAGGCATGTAGGCAAAGCATCAGCCAGACAACCTAGGAGGGCCGTTTCTCAGGGCTGGTTATGATGACTGTGCAACATTCCATGACTTACTGCTGGCTCTGAGAAGCCGTTCTCCAGAGGCTGATGATGGCGCTCCCAGGATAATGGCTTATATTCCTGCACAACATCTGTTTCACATTCCTTCTCTCCATAAATGTGCGTGGTTGGCTACTCGCCTGCACTGGCTTCTCTCCTCCTTTGCTCCTCAAGACAGCTTTTCTTTCTGGAAGCACGAGACCATTTCTTTCCTGAGCATATCTTCCCATAGAGGAAAACAATACCAAATGTGGCCTTTGGTTGGTGGATTTCCTGTGGCCACACCCTGAAAACTGGGGCAGAGCACTGTTTTTGAAGTTTCTTCCCATTTTGTGGACACAGCCCTGGATTTCTGCCTTTCCAGTAGGGCTTAAAATTTTATGACAGTAGTTTAACTGTTATAGTCGACTTGGACAGCTTTGCTCGC